AAAAAAAAAAAAAAAAAAAAAGAAAATTTAGGGGGAAAAAAGGGACCGATCGACCGATCCCCCGACGGAATTGATGGCCAACCGGCGCTTTATCGTCGATCCCTCGATCGTTGACGCCTAACGGGACGTGAAAATAATTCAGCCTGTCTCCATGTAGGTACTCCGGGCACGCGTGAACAACAGTACAACGAAGAGTCATCGAGACCGTTCCTCTTCCAAGGAATTCAACTCGGAGCTCCCTCTTCCCAACATCTGCCTCTAAGCTGCGCGTAGAATGAGATACAATCAGTGGAAATACTCGGTAGTATCTCGGCGGTAAGTCGAGAGCCGTTTGTGTACGATGCACGATGACGGATGACAGTTAATGCGAATGTTAACTAAGGTGAATCACGACGAATATTCGAGTCGTGGAAGGGGATATGTTTCTTTCTTTTTTTTTTTTTTTTTTTTTTTTTTTTTGGAAAAATTTATTTTTGCTCTATTCGAGTCGAGTTTCGAGATATCGCGTTCTAGGAAATTTGGACGGAATTTGATTGTTCGTATAATATAATTCTGGAAAAGAATTTATTCTTAACTTCGATGACGATGAATAGTATATATTTTAATTACGATCTAAGTAATTCGATTCTATTTATAAAAGTCGTACGATTATATTTCTGGTAGAGTCATTCGAGATATAACATGTATTTGCGTTATATCATATCGCGAGAAAGAGAGGGAAATATTTATGTAATTAATTCTCCCATAATAATTATAAAATTCTTGTTCGATGGTATATCGAATGGCGAACAATAATAATTTAATTGCACTTTATCGATTCAATTTTTCTAAAATCATACGCGATTGCCATACACATACATTGGCAATATTTCCAATCCAATTCTGACTACGCTTTGTACTACGTATATCATCCCCGCAACCTCGAAACGAGTAAGCACTTTCCAATTCTAATTCTGCAATTTTTCCACCCATTCCATTCGCAATTTCCATTCATTAAAAAATAAAAAGAAAAAGAAATCGTCTCGATAAAGATCGAGACACCTCGAAAATTTCTAAACCCTATAATCCAATCCAAAAAACTTTCTTCCTTCTAAACTCACCTGATCGATTCGGCTGGCTGGCTGGCTGGCTGGCTTTTGAATTTCAGGGAAATTTCGGCGGTAATCCGACGAGGCACACTGACACACAGGCCCCCTGACTGCTTTCGAGGCAGGCTCTCGCGACAGGAAGGAAAAATCGAGGCGGAAAAACTGG